ATGAAATTAAAGAATGTATTTTTATATAAATATATATAATAATATATAAGTATAGATGATAAAATATTAAAAATATATATAAGCATAAAATATTAGAATTTTTTTTTAATTTACTTCTCTCATCATATAACATCTTATTTTTCTAAAAAGTTTATGGCTTATTAATGAATAACATTTTGTGCATATAATGCTTCTTTACATAAAATTATGAATATTCTATAAAGTAGAGATGTAAAAAGAAATAATAATAGCGTTACACTTGATTCGCACAACTCTTTGACTTCATCAAATCAGATAATTTAATAATAAAAATTCGACAAATGAATGAATTCAACATCTAATAGTTTGATCATTAACTCATGTAATGAAGCATTTTTTTGAATAAAGTATAATTAATCATGTGATTAATTGTACTGATGAGGACCTGAAGGTTCTCATGAAATTCATTTTCTTAATAAATTTTAAATGTTTAAATTACATTCAACAAACATTCTGTGTTGGCTCATATTGACATTACTTATTGTTTCAGATAAAAGAAATAGTGTTCACTAAATTTTTAATATCCGTTGTATTATGCAAATTATACTAAAAATTATCTCATATATTACATGTAAAATATAGTAGAAATGAAATCCTATTTTTTAATCTGTAGCGTGTATATTGTTCAATTCTAATTTTGTAAATTAAGTATGAAATATCTATCGTCTAATTAAACGTTATTAATTAATTTCTTTTTTAGCTTCTTTGAATGTTACTCTGTTTATATAATGAAAATAATTTAGAATCATATATAATTTTATTAATACTTTTATTAATATTAAATCTTTTTATAACAAATAAATAACTGACATGCTAAATTATGCAGGCGCTGTGGGAAATAAAACAACTCTGTAAATATATTTTGTATACGTATATTTTATATACGCATATTTTGATTGATAAAAAATTCATTTAATTGTATATTGATAATCATGTGTTGATGGAGAAATTTATATCGCAACAAGATTTATAGATTGAAAAGCTAACACTTCTATTAGCAGTACAAAAAATATAATAAAATTAATGAATAATATTAATCAAGATTTTAGAACAATATAAACTTTACCTTCATTTCAGCACTTAGAAGAATAAGATTTACAAACTTTATACCATTAAATATTTAAATGAATGATGATCAGTCTCGTCTATAACTTATTACATATATAACTAATATTATGTATATGTATATTTGTACATTCCTTACTATTTTTGCTCCGTTTTTAAAATGATTATTATTAATTACTGTTATTTTCATAAGTTTTCATAAAACGTTCCGTTTTAATTAAAAATTTAAATAAATTTAAATTCTAATGCTTTAAATATGATTTAAGAAATATTTTTTAATTATAATCAACGATTAAATGAAATCATATATTCTGATTCTTATTACTTTCAAATACAGTATTTTTAAAAGATTATATCTCAGTATCTATATATCATCTATCTAGCATATGTGACATTAAGATTTTCATTTTTAATGAATTTAAAAAATATGATCGCAGAATTCTTTGCATGATAACGTTTATACGCATTATAAACAGTATAATCATTTCAATCGTATTTTATATAATCTAAGTAATTTTTGTAAATGTATACATACATAGCATGAATATGATTATCATTCATTTAATTATGAATTATTTTGGTGATGAAATATATACCAATTAAGTTTATTAAATGAGTAGATTGTATTGACATCTTTCATTCGGTTATCATTTACACGATAGTCACAGCCCAGAAATTGTATACCTGATATTACATTTCTAGCGCTATTTTTGTATATAAATTATCAAAATGTTTAAGATGTACTCTAAAAATAAGATGTACACAAAAATAATTAATAAACACGTTTACGAGTCTGTAGATACTATTGCTTCTATATTCTTTTTATTAACATTGCGAATAAATTGACTTCGAATTCTCTCTTATCTTCACTCATTTATTAATTTAATTTCTCAAATCAATTTTCAGATAATCAGATAAATAATTCTATATGAATAATTCTACATAAATAATTCTCAGATTCAAATAATCAGATAAATAATTCTACTGATAAAAGAAAAAAATAAAACTCAGCTATACGAAAAAAATCATTCCCTTCTAAAATATAACAATGCAAACAACTATCATGTAATATGTGGTACAACAAAATCTGGATTATACGAAACATACAAAAATATATATATATATATATATGTATATAAATATATACAATATTGAAACATGTAAAATCCACAAATATTCATGCCTATGATATCAAATAATAAAAAAATAGTTTGCAATTTTAATAATAGTACTTATTCCATTTTGAAAACTTTTACTCTCGTATAAACATGAGTACCTTTTATTTATTACACCACAGATATTTATTTACGTGTTTTTAAAAGTAAAGAATTAGTCTTCGAGCGCGTGCGTCGAGTATATTCAAGGAACATTTTTCATTATGAAAAATGAGTTGTATGTACATTTATAGAGGACGTGCAGCTTATGTTACACGTATTTTGTATATACGATTTACAGCTGCACAACTTATACACAACACTCATCGCAGATAACGCTTGTAATCTATGATACCACTTCGTTCTTAAAACATTTGACCTATCATAGCGACTGGTCGCACTGCTTGTCCGTTATTAACGTTATTCATATTTACGTGGATATGAGTAATTGTATGTGGTATGTGATGATGATTGTGATCATCAACAATCATCTCGCCATATTGGGCGCGACAACGCTTCTGGTGTGCAAAGAGACTGCCGCTGTGACTGTACGCGGCGCCGCACGTCTTGCATACGTACGGTTTCTCACCAGAATGAGTGTACGTATGCTCTTTTAACGTGCTAAGCCTCTTGAAAGCTTTACCGCAGGTTTTACATAGGTAATTTGCTTCACCAGTATGTCGGGTTAAATGTCTGCGAAAAGCCGAGCTGACAGCAAATGCGGCGCTACATACGTGACACACAAATGGCTTGTCGCCTGTGTGAATACGAATGTGATTCGCCAGGCTTGTCGTGGTCGTGAAACCGCTGTTACATGTCTTGCACACATGTGGCTTAATGCCGGTGTGAGTTCGCATGTGGTAGGTGAGGGACGAATTGCTTGGGTATACCTTACTACAGATATGACACAGATACTCGCGCGGTACCTTCTCTTTCGGCTTATGCGTTTTCTGATGGAGAACGAGACGAGCCTGACTTGCACAGACTTTCCTACAAATCTCGCAAGTAACTGGCTCGGCCTTAGGCTTATGCATCGATACATGCCGTCGCAGACCTTTCTTGGTGGCCATGACCTTGTCACAATGTTGGCATTTGTATTCTCCAGTTCCTTCCTCGTCGCTCTCCTCTTTCTTGACGTTTTCGCCCTCCGGTGGAGGATCCATCGTGTTGTTGCTTGGCATATCGTCGTCATCCGAATCGTATAGCTTATTATCATCCATCAAATTATCCAACAGCCCATGTCCATGCTTCTCCGCATGTTTCTTTAATGTATCTGGCCTGAAGAACCATTTCTTACATACAGTACAAGAGTACTTCTTGTCGCCATGCACCAGTGCATGTCTTCTTAAATTCTTCAAGGATGAGCAGTACTGGTTGCAAATCTCGCACTTGTACAATTCTGGCGCGTTCTCGAATTCGTCCGCTTCATTCGCAGGCCCAGTCTCATCATCGGTATCATCTTCACTCTTAAATTCTTTCTTCGGTTCTTTATTATCTTTTCGCTCGCTTGTGTTGATCTGCTTAATCATATCGTTTACTTTCTCTGTATGTGACTTTAAGTGCCTCACGAGACTCTGAGACTTTGAGAAGGATGCATGACAAAGCTGACACGCATGCGGTTTCGATGCATGAATCTTCTGATGATTCTCCATGTTTTCCTGCTTGTAAAACATTTTTAAACAGATATCACATTTATATTTCTTTTCGTGGACCAAAGCATGCTTCTTCAGACCCTTCTGTGTTGCATATTGTTTGGAACAGACCTTACATTTAAACTTGGACTCCACTGAATCTTGGCTATCACTACTCGGCTCGTAATAATTGTCAACAACCTCATCGTCGCTATATGTTTTAGCAGATTTTGTTTTTCTCGTAGATGTGCGTTTTTGCGGGACATTTTCCTCTTCTATATTATCATTGGATAAACTTTCAGTCACGAATTGCTCCTCCTGAACTATATTCTTTTCCACATACTGATCGGCTTCCTTAATTTCGTCATCCTTGTTTTGTAAATTAATAATGTTAGTACCCTGTGCATCTTCCTGTACTATTGTCATTTGATGAACCTCATTCTCTGATATGCAAGAATCTTTCACCTCTTCTTTACTTCCTTCAAATCCGATAGAACAAATGAATAGCTTTTCATCTGGTATTTGAATTTGATTGGTATTTAGATTGACTCTGGGAAATGAATCGGTGGTTTGAATGTACTCTTGTGCACTCGTAACTACTTGCATGTCTTCCTTAAAATAATCCTCTTGAAAGTGGTCTGACTTTTTTGACTGTACAAATCTTGTTTGTAGATCTGTTTGTGTATAAGAATCCTGCAAATCCTGAAAAATCACATAAACTATCATGTATTTTCATACATAGGCAAATATAACTTGAGAAGACTTGATGTTTTTACCATGGTAGACTTAATAGATTTGACAGGCTTATTGTAGTACATGCGTAATCTTGCGTCAGAGTATTGACATTGTTGTCTGAACTCATGGGCGACGCTGGCCTTGTAAATGCAGTCATTACATATCAGGGAAGGTAATCCATCCTGCTCATCTATTTCAATGGAGCCACAAATTTGTATTTTTTGAGAAAGACCCGTGAGATTGTTCACTTCTTGTGTAGAGGAGAAGATTGATGACAAATTGGTACCCTCTTGAAGACAGATCCTACATACTCTGTCCATATTAACTGGTAAAGTAAAGTAATCCGAAGTCATTATTCCGTCGAAGATGAAATGTTCACCTGCGACAAGTTCTGTAAAATAAAAAGAAAGTGTGCAACAACAAAATAAACAAAGCAGAATTCTTTGCAGAATGTAATTTTAAACATATGATTATCAGATATAATTATAAGTATTAAGTTCTGATGATCCCGTACATGTAAAAGACAAAAACAGAAGTTTCGTCGTCTAGTAACAATAACGCAAACAAAATGCAGACGGCATTATTACAATATGTTGCATTAACATCGCGTAATACGTTGACGAACGCTTTCGCATGGCATAGTGAGCAATCTACGAGGCAATTTAATATATCTCATGACGAGAGTCCCGCGGGATCGGATCTCGTAGCCGGGCGCAGCCATGCGAAACAAGATACCGACGTGTGACGCTGCGAGAGACATTCCATTCCCTACGTCGCGCGAATTCCGTGCGCGTACCAGGAGAGAGATAAGGAATTAAATATACAAATACCGGAGCGGTTCTCAACTTCTCGATGCGGGGCGCGTTCATGCGTCGTGCCACCCCCGACCCGATGTTGCTACTATGACAGTGACGCCCAGTAGACGCGGTGCACTGCTCTCAATCTCTTTCGAGTCTCTTGCAGTCTTTTACTGCTGAACAGCACGTCTGACTTTTTCTTTTCAGGACTGTTCAGAGTGCTGCGCACTCACGGCTTCGCATCGAATGGAGGCGCGATGTGCGTCGCTCCATAATCGATCCGTCGATTCGTAGAAACTTCAAACACTCCGAATACCGTCCTCGACTCTGCTCAGCCTTTGTCTCTCAGCTCGCTCCGATCGGCGATCGACGGGGCTATGAAAGTTGAGAGCAATCTGAGATGAACACCCGAAGATCTCCAAGTGTGGGTGGGTCAATACAAAGAAAAGCCGAGATCGTGAGAGTGCACATATATATGTACATACGTGTGAGTGCAAAAATCGATTGTATCGGAGACTTCGATTAATTGATCAGCGGCTCGCCATCTCTTTCTAAACCATCTCTGTAATACAGTGGAGACGAAACGTATTACATACATATGTTTGCCGCTTAATGAAGCATGCAATATGCGCCTAAATCTATATAAGAACTGATAAGAACAGTTACTGATTAATGTTCTAAACATGAAATAAACGGCTCCGAAAGAAACACAGAACTCATGCGCATGCGTTATATGAGAGGCACGATAATCATATCTAATTGGTTGAATTTATATATCTCGTAAAAAATTGTCCATCATTTTTCACATAATTTTAAAAACTAAGTTATTAGATATATTGATGTTACATTACATTAAACTCAATTTGTAAAATATCTATCCCATACATATAGCATAGACTTTCAAAAGTATGTCCTAAAGATGTCTATGTCCTAAAGATGTACATTATACGTTCTCAGGACATATAGTACACTTTATCTGAAAAACGTTCTAAGAACGTCTTTAGAACATACAGCATTCTCTGATAAAGTATTTTTTTATATCATTATACAATATTTGTTTATGGCACATTTGAATTACAATTACATTAATATTATTATATCGAATGGCTTTTTATTTTAGGAACCAATAATTTAACATAATTTTGAAAAAATTTAAATGTATACAATTAAATCTTCACTCGACACAATTAAATTTTGATATGATAAAACACACACACACACACACACACACACACACACATACACACAGAGTATACATATTATAAATAATAGTTTTTCTACCGTACAATATATAATGGTGCAATATAAAAGTCTTGACATAATGGACCCAAAAATATATATTAAAAATAGAAATAAACGATTATTAAGATTTCAATCTATCAGAAACCGTATATTTCGGTATAGATTTCTAATACATAGAAAATACATTGAAATTAATATTTATTTCTGTTTCTTCCATTGTGCACAATCCCTAATGATCGATTTTCTTTTTTTTTGCACTTTATTTGTTCGTCTCTGATATGAATGACTTCTAATACATTCCAGTAAACTAGAAATATTTTGAAATATTTCAGTAACGTTGCTGCAACATTACTAAGATGTTTCAGAATGTCTCTTGTTTACTAGGATGCTACTGTTTAATATTTATTTTATCTCTTCTAAATAATTATTTTTACTTCTTTTTATTTTATAATAGAAGAACTATGATAAATCAAGCAATTTAATAATATAAACGTCTTGAAAAGATATTAATAATATAATAATTGACCAAAAGTAAGCTAAAATTACTTCTTAAGCCGGTTCATAGTCGGATCTTATATTTAAGATCGTCTTAAGTACAATCTTAAAATGTTATGAATCAATCAGGGGGCCGTATTAAAGCGACTTAAACTTAAACTTAAAATAAGAATCGATTATGAATCGGTCTTAAATTGATTATATTTTTCCTGTAATATTCTTAATTCTTTTAAAATACATTTAAAAATATACATGTTTAAAATATATGTAAATAAATAATAAATACATATGTATAAAATTAAAAAGAACATATATGTATTAAAATCATGTGTACATACATATAATTTAAAATACACGTTTTTATATTTATTCATTTATTTGAATCTCGCGTAGGTGAATAAGTAGGTGACAATTATATTCCAGAACGAGTTGCAATCAATAATTGCAGCAGGAATTATAATGGAAGAAACAGAAATAAATATTAAGATTTCAATCTATGTACTAGAAATACTGAATGTCTGTAATACCGAATACCCAATAGATGAATACCCAATGATTGCGTTTAATAGAGAGAAGAGAGAACAGCTTTACAATTATTGTAAAATTCTTTGATATGATTGGTTTATACATTTAGATCTAGAAAGGAACTAAGAGCAAGACCAATCTTATTAAAGAATTTTACATAGTTGCAAAGCTTCTTTCTCTGCTAAACGTAGTCATTGGACGAAGACACAGATAACTCATATTTGTCTGCCCTCTTGACATTTCTCATTTAGATATAATTCCCTGGTATCTCGCTCTCTCTTCCTCTCTTACTCGTCCACCTGTCTGTCAAAAAAATGTGAATATAGGACTGGAATTTATACAGATTTACGGTTAACTGTAATGATCAGGGCCACGTGTCGTCTGATCGAATCGAAACGTACGACCGATGTGCAAGGAAGTTCCTTGAGCGGTATAGTGCGAGCGCATACAGCATTTAATATCTTTTTTTAATGCGACCATGGCACTCCGTAAGGTGAAGGGGAATTTTGAGCGGATGTTTGACAAGAATTTGACGGATCTGGTGCGCGGAATCAGGAACAATAAAGAAAACGAGGTGATTCCCGTGTGTATTCACAATTTCCTCGCTGTCTTATCCTTTAGTCAGAACCTAACCTAATTTTCCTCCTTGCTCGTTCTATCTATTTTTTCAACAGTTCTTACGATACTTTACTTCTCTTTTCTGTACCAGGCGAAGTACATTGCACAATGTATCGAGGAGATCAAGCAAGAGTTGCGGCAAGACAATGTGGCAGTCAAAGCCAATGCCGTGGCCAAGTTGACATATGTAAGTCTCTAACATATGTAAATTTTGACAGAATCGACTTGATGCAATTTCAGCAATTGTATGTCAATTTATCACGAGTTAACTTATTCAGTTCAATTTGTCGCAAGTATTATAATGATTTTAATTTATTCTTACTATTTCCAGCTCCAAATGTTGGGGTACGACATCAGTTGGGCTGGCTTTAACATAATAGAAGTAATGTCGTCGACAAAGTTCACTCACAAGCGAATTGGTTATCTTGCTGCCAGTCAAAGTTTTCATGCAGAAACAGAGGTAAAAGCCATTGTTGATAATATACTTATCAAATTTATTAAATGTACTGATGACTCATTCTGTATATCTTATATATACTTTTATTTATTTATTGAGAGGCCACTTGCATGAATATTTTATATACATTTTTCAGGTACATATATATTTTCTCTCTCTCTCTCTCTCTCTCTCTCTCTCTCTCCCCACACACACACACACGCATACACACACACACACACACACACATGTTATGGATAAAGTTCACAAGAGGACAGTGTCAACATTGCCCAAGCTGTGTCAACATTGTCCACAATCCAATATAAGTGGACTTTGCAATGTTAATATGATTGGGCAATGCTGACATTATACAAAAGGTAATGCCAACACTATGTGGACTGTAACATGTACAACATTTGTTACATACAGGATATATACAAGATGAATCATAAATATGTTTCAAAATTTTGTGTTTTCCAAAAATTTTGAAAATCATTTGCCTTATTTTATCGAAAATCGAATTTTATATGTTTAATGAAAAATAACTTGAGTTTTCAAAGTTTTAGAAAAAATAAATTTATTATTTTT